TGAGAAACAGACGGACCAGATCGAACAGATCCAATGGTTTCCCGAGGGTGTGACTGTTCATATTTCGAGGTGAAAACAATTGAGCGTGTTTTTGACGTCCTCGGATCTTAATGCTCACATGACGTCCGTGCATGCCCGAGACGCGACCTCACTCCTAAGGTCGAACTAGTTGAGTTGTCTAGATCTATACTGTTGGTTGAACCATGACTGAACCAAAGTCCGGGCCAAATCTTTTCAACTCGATGATACTCTTGCCCCAAGTTGACCACGTCAGGCTCAGGAGTAAGGGGCAATTGATGAGAGATAATTTGGCCCGTCAAATGATGTGACAACACATGGAACGACATAACGATGTGGGGACACCTCAACGACCTCGATGACCGCCAACTAGATCGAGGTGTGAATAACTCAACTATATGCGACCTGTCGAGGTGGCACACAACCTCAATCTAAAAGCAAGCCAATTGTCTCTAATCTCCTCAACATAACGACACCATGCCAACGGAGTTCATCTTCTCCCTACCCGATTTGGATAGACCTAGATTAGCCTTATCAGCTAACGTAGAGTCCATCTTCAGGTGCGAAACCAACTTCGGACCAGACAGGTCGAGGATCTTGGACACACATTGTGAGGCCCACGATAGCTTGCATATATAAAGGCCTTGCCTCCAGTCTAACAAGGTATGCGCAACTCAACTCTCTGAGTTCTCTTGCAAAATAGCTTTTAGCTCTCTCAAAACCTCCAAATCACTAACTTAAGCATCGGAGTGCCCACACCGGGTAATACACCCCAGACACTCTGACATCCTTGTCTTGCAGCTCGACTAGGCGACCTCACTAGCCCGACGTCCGAACCGTCCTCCATTAGGAGCACCAGATCGCAATCCATCATTGTCCACAAGTCATAAAGAGTGACTTTCACAAAATGAAGGAATGAATGAATAAATAAATAAAGTGGACAAAATTTTGTATGAATATTTGAGTTATACTTGTGGGAAGGGGGTAAGGCTCGGTTGAGAAGTGGTCTCTTTGAAAGACGAAGAAAAGCCTGCAAGGGGAGTGAAGGTCTTTCGGTAAAAGGATTTAAGAGACGAAATAGTCGTGGGAACTAAAGAGTATCAGTAGCAAATGCTTGGGATCCAATGATGTCTAACATGAGGAGGACCCCCTATTTATGAAGAAGGCCTCGAGATCCTAAAAAGTAGGAGATGGGGATATTCGCTCCGTATCGGGGAAGGGAATATTTTATTCGCTGACGATCATTGGATGCTCTACTAGGGTATCGCCACGTGTCTCATGAAGATCTTCTCAAGGATCGGCTTTCCTTATCCTTAAGATTCCTCATTACTCACGTGTGCTACTACATTTTTGCGCAATATGACGAGTCCTACGTGGCGACGATGACGCCACCATTTGGAGGCGGTATTTCGTCAATGCTTCATGAAGATTTGTGGAGTGCTTTGTTGTCGTGGGTTCGCGTGTGTCTGGGCACACGCAGGCCTCGCCATGGGCTCGACCTACTATCCTCCCCGACCTATTATCCGGAGCAGGTTTGCAAGCTGTGGGTTTATCGCATGTCATGGCGGGTGTGACTTCATTGCACACTTAAGTGTGTTTGGATCCTTTGGACGAGTCTTTCTAAGGCTTGTTTCGGTTTGGGCGTTGACTGGACTTGATGGGTCACGGTTTTATCACGATTTTCTTCAACATGTTGTGGGTTCATCGCAAAGTTTAGCGATGAACCGTAAGTTCATCGCAACGTGGGGATTGATTGTAAGCTATTCGTAAATGCTTCTATGATGTTACTCTTGGTATCTGTGTGTTCTTTAAAGGTGTAAATGGACTATACATACATACAATACTTCCACCTCTTTTCATTATAATCTATGTTTTGAGGAAAGTGAATCAAGTGTCGGATTGGATTCCGAATAAAGTCCATGTGACCAGTGCCTATTCATCTAAATTTGAACAACCTCCCCCTTGTGATTTAGTTTCTATTTGCAAGAGCGACCTGTGGGGGCGTGCTACCCCCAGCTTATGTAACACAGCTTTGTATTTTATCAAAAAGAAAAAGATTTGTTTTTCCATTTACATCAAAACAAATTAGAAGGGAGGGTAAATAAATTGCAAGCTGAAATATTTCCATTCTTCAGAGGAATAAATGCCGTCTAAAATCAGGTAAGGAAGAGGCAAGTTGGACTGGTTTACACGTCACCCGGCCATAAATTTAATTGGGTCAGTCTCATCATTAAACCATTTGCCTGTAAAAAAGAAAAAAGCTTATGATTTGGCCAAATAGGGATCCCATTTTTTCTATTTTATGTATTTTCAGTCATTTTTATCATTAGTAATAATAATTTTTATTTATTATATACTTATTCTTTACTTAAACATCAAGAAAAACAGGATTACACCCTTTAAAGACACCAATAATATAGTTATTAGTTAACGAGTTCAACAAACCAACTCGGCGTAACACTGACTAATTCCCCATCCTCCACATAGCTTCAATGAGCTATGGCATGGGAAACACAATTCTCATCTCTGTGGACATATTCAAAAGCAAGGTTCAAAGCAATGTTCAAATTTTCGATACAATACACTTTATATTGGATGTATCATATTGTATATTTTTGATACATCTATTAATGTTTTTTGGGAATCTATTCTTTTTTTAAATAATATATATAACTATATTTAAAATTAAATTGAAATTACTGAAAAAAATTAAGACAGAAGGGAAGAGTATCGTTTAGACCTGGCAATTTGGGTTGGGTGGGTCGTGTTCGGGTTGGGTCAAGGTACTTCGGGTTGATTTTGGGTCAGGTTGAATTTTGGGTTGGGTTGTCAAATGCTAGACCTTAATCCTAAATGCTCGGATTAGGGTTGACCCATGGGTCAATTTGGGTCATCCAAAAAAATAATTAAAATTTAAAAAATAAAAAAAATTACATGAAAAATGTCAAAATTAGAAAAAATTAATTTCAAAATTTCAAATATAAAATAAAAACTTGAACATTTAACAATTTAAAGAGTAAACAATAAAAAGTAAAGACTTAATAGAAAAAATTAAAGAGTGGAAACTTCAAACAATGCATAAATAATTCCAATTAGACTTGACAATCGGGTTAACAGGTTAACCCATGACCCAATTCAATCCAACCCAATTTTTTCAGATCGGGTCAGGCCAGGCCATTTTCTCAATTCGGGTAACTAAATATGAGACCCTAACTCGATTTTTTCGGGTTGGGTCAACTTTTTGCCCGGTCTAGTATCGTTCATTGCCTTGGTTTTTAAAACAAGCGACAATATGCTAACACTAACTTTTAGGGTTCACTATTTTCCCCATCTGGAAAAACTTACAGCCAATCAAGTGAGACGGGATCATCTGCCCACAAAACACGCCCCACGGCCCATCCTTTCCGTGCATTGGGAATATTTCCCCATGACAAATACGGAGATGTTCTCAGTGCACGAATGGGATGGATTGTGGGCTGCGCGTGGAACATGCTATATGGGCACTCAATCCCATCACCAATCAAATCAAGTGGGTTTGAATAGGATATATTGAGTGGTTAAAAGCCTTTCCGGTATCATCTCTAGACAGTAATTCGATTTAAATGTAGCTTGTGAACTAACAGCTTCAAGGATAGCTAGTTTCTCAGCCAGATGGAGAGAAATTGCACCCTGCCCTTACTTGACCAAATTGTAAATTTGATAAGTAAAAAATTCACCTAAATCAAATAAAAATTTAGAAATCAAAGATTATAAGTTAGGTTTTATAATGAAACACTTCCCCTTGAATCTTGGCATTTCCCACAATTTCTGGGTCACACATTTGTCCCATTTATTTATTTTTATATTTTCCGAGGACAAAGCATTAAATTCATGAACGAGTATCTAGGAACACAAATCTGACCATCGTCTATAGTCTTTGTTAGTTTTGCTTGGAGTGCAAATTTGATTTGTACTACACGAATTCATGAGAGGTAGTAGTTGGTTCAGCATTTGCACTTTACTTTGGACCAATAAAGATTCAGTTTCATCTTCCGGTTATCCATCATAAATCATAACTCATCTTTAGCTCCTGTTTGGGAGTGCTTTCCTAATAAATGATTATGAGTCTTGGTGAAAATTTGCTTTTCAGAGTAATTAGGTATTTTGAAAATTACATGATAGGTTAAGAGGGGCAGAAACACAATAAGCGTTTTCTTTCTTTTCCAAAAAGCACTTCAAAGTGCCAAAATTTTGAGTTTATTCAAAATAGACTTGTTTAAAAAAAAACACTTGTTCAATCGGACTTAGGCCAAGTTTGGGGTTACACTTATTTTGGCCGGGACTACATCAATAAGAACTTATTGGCATTTAGGAAATAAGTTCGAAATAAGTGCTTATTTTAAAAACAAATTCTTATTGAAGAAGCCCAAAATTCTAGCTTTTTTTTTTAAGTTCTTATATAATAAGCACTTATTTGAAATTTTGATTCCAAAATACTCCCCAATTAAATAAATGCCAATTATGCCCTTCAATTGACGAAAAAAAAAGGTTTGGCTCTTCATTAGTTTCTTTTTTATTATCTTCTCCAAAGACCAACAGTGCGTGGAACTGCAGTCGACCGGTCAACCAAATAGGGTATCATCTCTTTTTGTTTTTTTTTTTTTCGTTTTTTCATACTTAAATGATCAACCAGGTAAAGTTTTTTTTTTTTTCATGTTGTTCTTCAAGCCAGCCCTAGTTTCGATAATTTCTTCTCAATTATCTTCTCCAAAGACTAGTGGCGAAATTACAACTCGAACCATTCAACTAGGTTAAGTATCCTCTCTTTTCGTTTTTTTTTTTTCATTTTCTCATCCTCTCTTAAAAAAATAACCGTTCCTAAATTTCCCCACATTTTCTAGATGCATGTAATGTAAGTGGTTATTGGTGTGGTCCTAACTAAAAATTAAGCGCTTTTTTCTATAAATGCTTAAAAATAAGAATTCCCAAACAAGGTCCAGATATGCTGACCACAACAGGGGTTGCACCCATCAATTAATTCACTCTGTTAATTGGGATTTGGGGTCCATTGCCTGGTGGGCCCTAATGATCCAGCTTAGGACCATCAAAGTCCACACTCACACATGACCTTTGACCTTCCATATCAAGTCTCTGTTTGGTGAGAGATATAAAAAGAGTAAGAGACTTCGAATACTAAATCTAGGTAGAGAAAGCTATTACATGTATTTCCTTTCTAATGAACAAACAGATTATTTTGGGCTACCCAAACACGGCCCCCCACCTCCCCGAAAGAGAAGGAAAAAGAGCAAAAAGAAAAAGAGACACTCAAAAAGAAACACTGAGTTCAATTCTTGGCCGATTCTTCCTTTTTATTTGCTTCTTCTTCAAGCTCGAAAGCAGAGACGGGGAACGAACGAGAGATTCCGGCCGGCGTTTTGAACGAGATCTTACCGGAAGCGGGGTCGTCGATGTAGATATCCGACAGGGTAACCCAAATCAGGAGTTCCTTACTCTTGACCCCGGTCAGCTTCTTCATCCGGTGGTTCTCCACGAAGGCGGTGATCTCATTCGCGTACGAGACCTGTTTCCCGATGCGCTTGAAGGTGTGCTGCGTTCCTTTCCTCTGCTTCAGCCAGACGAACCCGGCTTCCCTGTTGTAGCCCACTTCCTCCATGCCGTCCAGCGGCAACAGACCCTTGGGCAGCGATATCTCCTCCAGAAGCTGCAGCGATTTTTCCTTGCAGAGAGAATCTCCATGGTAGATCTCCGCCTTCTCTCTGTAATTCGCAATCGCTTGACTCGCCATTGCTGCTGTCTGAGCTGGTCGCTAAGGCTTAGTTAGGATAAGGCAGAAATAGAATGGACTGAAGAAGAAGAAGAAAGCAAGAACGAAATACGGGTCTGAGACTGAGCCCTGAGGTGGGATGCAGAATGGACTGAAGAAGAAGAAAGCAAGAAGGAAATACGGGTCTGAGACTGAGCCCTGAGGTGGGATGCTGGCTGGATGCAGAGGGAGCCTCTTATAGATCTTCGGGTTAGTTGAAATTATTTAATTGCCCTTGTTGATTTGTTGTAATTCTTTTGTGTTATTTGATAAGACTGTTTGGGTTGGATTTGGAGTTGATAAAGAGAAAGTGATTAAGGCACATCCTATTTTTTGGATAAGACACACGTAACCCTAACGTCCCTAATAGGGGGAGGAAAAAACCACATATTACAAGACTACCCTTATATGTTTTAGTTTATCGTTACAAACACTAAACAGGGGTTTATTTGTCTTTTCAACGTGGATATTCTGTGCTTATCAAAACCAGTTTCAATGTTCCAACATCCAACCTCCATCGTCCTTGCAAAACCTAACGTCACCAAGGCCCTAACAACTAGGGGAAAAGAACCATGTATGACAGAACTACCCTTACATTGTTTTAATTTATGGTTGGAAACAGTGGTTTATTTGTCTTTTCAACATGGATATTCTGTGCTTATCAAATTTCCATAAAGAAGGAACGAGTTATTTGAATGTTCCAACTTCCAACTCCCATCGTCCTTGCTTAGTTGCATGTAAACGTGGCCGTTGACTTACGTTGTTATTATGAAATGACCTAATTGACCTTGTTTTTGTAAGTGAATTACATTGCGAGAATAGGGTTAGGGCCATTGGCCGACACTGGAACAAAATTTTGGATTGCACGTTTATCTTCAACTTTACTCGGGCCATGTAGATGGGTGAATGGTGATCTCCTCAAGTAGGGCAAAGGCAAATGGTCAATGTCATGGGGTCTATTTTTATCATAGTAGTCACATGGAACGTGCGTGTTGCACGTGCAATTGACCATAAAGAGAGGGATATAATTGGACTGAAAACATGGTGCCTAGATTGGGCCTCGGAGTCCGAGGAGAGATAAAGATATAAGTATAAGGATTTTCTTTCAAAATTAGAAGTTTTTTTAGGGTAAAATTTAAAATCCTAATCACAAAAGCCTCAGCCTCCATTTGATTTATATAGGAAGATTTGGGTGGGATGGGAAAAGATGGGATGGGATGCGATAGGAAAGTGTAAAAATTGAAGTTTCCATTGTTTGGTTGTATTGGAATGGGATGGGAAAGTTTTAAAGGGGATGGAAATGGTATTGTTCACCTTCCTCTTCAGACGAACAGAGGCGATGACTACCCCTTCATCTCTCACCTCTCGCACTCTCTTTCTCCTCTCTTTGTCTTCTTCTTCATTTCTTCTTCTTCTTCTCATTTCCGCCTCTCTGTTTCCTCGACCTATACATCAACAACCCATGCTTAAACTCAGGGATAAAAAATTCTTCCACCTCATCTAAATTCAGTCTCGTCAATGGTGTCTAGCCTTCCCTCAAACCGTCAACGGCCGGTACTGGTGTGACCTGTGCATCCCCGTTGCCGGCCTCGGACATGATGTACACCGCCCCATTAAACGATGCACTTGTTCTCTTTTGAGATACATGCAGAACAGAACCAAGAAAGGTTGAGTGTGTCTCTCCTTGTTTCTTAGCTTTGTCGTTCCGTCTAGCTCGGTTGAGTATCCTCGTCTAATAATTAGTTCTAGCTTGTCAATGCTCGCAAGATTTTTTCTTCCTTTCTAATCACTTAAGAGGTTTTCTTCAACGTCTGTTTCAATGGAAAATAGAAAGCTCGTTCATATGGACCCACTAGTTGCATTTTGTTTACCTTCTTGCTCCAGAACGCATGCTCCAGTTGAATTTTGGAGATTGAACTTGTTGATATTTATGGGAAATTATGATAATTCTGGCATTTTCTGAGGATTTCAACATGTTCGTATCATTTCCGACTTGGAAAGAAAAAATTGGTGTCTTCATAGTTTCTGAGGATTTCAACTTGCCGGAGAAGATGCATATGGGACTCTCAGCATTGACTTCTCTAGTTTCTGCTAAATTCATTTTGCAGAAACTTTTTGGAATATTCGGCGTGGTCGCTGGCAGATTTCTCTGGTTTACACTAGCGGTAGGTAGCATGCGTTTTGGAGTAAGGACTGTGTTGCTGTTAATGCGCGTGGACCTTCGACGTCATCATTTACGAGAGGAGGGAGGGAGGAGGGAGATGAAAACTCGAATTTTCTCAAATTTTTCCACTAGGGTCGCACCAAAACCGTGCAACCCCGAATCCTTGATTTTGGGATCTAGCATCCTACCTTTTTCTCACCCCATCCCACTCTTTCCCTCAAAACAAATATGAAAAAAGGGAATATTTTTTCATCCCCATTCCACAAAGCAAACGGAGCCTTATGGTTTCATTTTCACAAAAACCTTCCTTATAGTATTGAAAAAACCTATAGTTACCTCCCTTTTCTTTATTGTCATGCACACAAAATGTTATTCTAATGCATTAGTGATAATGCACGATCTGGTGATCCCTGTTGGCGGATAGCTTGGATGCCAGTGTGTTCAGGTTGCTTGACCCTAGGTGGGCATTCCAATGCTTAAGTCAGCAAAGAGTTTTGAGAGAGCTAAAAGGCGAGAGAGCTAGAGAGCTAGTGAACTATGAGAGATAAATCATGTGTATCTTTTCTGAGGAAGGGGACAATCAAGCTGTCGTGAGGCTCACGAAGCGCGTCCAAGATCTCTGGCCCGTATGGTTCGGAGGTGGTTTAACGCTTGGAGGTGGACTCTGCATAAGTGGGTAGTGCTTATCCAGTCACGCTCGAAGCGGACAAGGTGATAAGTGGCTCTTCCGATGTGGCGTCGTGATCAGGGGCGGAGCTAAAAATTTTTTGTGAGGGGGACCAAAACCAGAAGTGAAATGGGGGAAGGGGGAATAAGTATGGATGGGCCCATAGGGGGGGGCAACCATTGGGGTGGAGAGTTTGGGAGGGGGGAAATTTACATGGAAACCTTTATTTCCAAGTGAAGAATTCTGGACCATAGGGGGGGCCATGGCTACCCTGGGTCCCCTTGGCTCCACCCCTGATTGTGATCCCAGGGAAGTTAGAGATGATAGCCCGCTTAAGGAGGATGTTGCCTGGCACGTCAGGCAGGTCACCAATTGGGTCCCAGTTAGGTCGGCCCTAATGCCGAGGTCCTTAGCTCGATCGTGGTGAGGTTGCCACCTGACTCTCCGTTAGGTCAACAGAGGTAGGTTGCCTCTTCTACCGACCTAGTCCCGTCAAGATCTTATGCCTTTAGGTCGACGGAGGTAGGTCACCAACTGAGTCTCCGTCAGGTTAGCGGGAGGTAGGTCCCCTGCTGGGTCTCTGTTAGGTTGACGAAGGTAGTCATCACTTGAGTCTCTGTTAGGTAGGTGGAGGTAGGTTGCCTCTTCTGTCGACCAATTTCTATCGAGATCTTATACCATTAGGTTGGCGGAGGTAGGTTGCCAACTGGATCTCTGTCAAGTTGGTGGAAGTGTAGATAGGTTGACCACCATGTCATGCAAGTTGCTACCTGGACCTCAGTCTAGCCGGTGAGACCTTGACGGGAGGTCTCCCTTCGTGCGGAGGTCTCAAACTCGGTCCTAAGGTGGTCATCCTGATCCTGATGAGGTGTTTATAGGTCGGCCATGGCAAGGTGGTGACGAAGTGCCCTCAGGGCATGCAAGGCGCATCCGACGTGGTTCCAAGTAGGTCTCCGTCATTTTGGCTAAGGCAAGTCATCGCTTACGTGATGTTGGGGTGTCATGCGACGATTCTGGGATTGCCACATGGTGCGTTGTCACTAGAGGGCCAAATCTGCCCTCATTAGTTGTCCCCCCCCCCACTCCTGAGTTGAGGTCAAATCGATGAAGGGAGTAGTTCACTGCACGTCTCTAGCCCAAAGTGATAGTTCAGTTGTTTTTTTTTTTCCTTTTTTTTGCGCCAACCCATTTTTCTAGCTTGAGCTAGAAGAGTCTAAGGGCTAAATGCGGTACTAGGCAGAACATCGCCATCTTGACCACTAGGTGCAAGAGCGAACTCATCAACACAAGGAGAGGCACAACGGGCACTCCGAGGACATTCGTCGAGCTAGGGATGTAGCCACTGAGGAGTTCCCTCATTTGCCTGTGTACCTCAAGAGTGGAGTTTGTCATGCCTGCCCTCAAGAAGGGCTTCAAACTATGCCATGCTTCCTTAGGTTGCTCCACTCAGAAATTTCTATGTGGTGTCCCTCAAGCAAGTCCTTGAGTAGGTAGTTGACAAGGTCAATGCAGAACCCAAAATCAAAGTGGAGGATAGTGGAGAGGGCAACAAGAATGATGCCAATGAGGGTGCTGTCAACAAGGACAAGGACAACATTGCATGTTTGAGTGAGCCAACGTGCGCTTAGTGCGGGTTGGTCATCTATTGTCATCGTGTTTCGAATTGATTGGCTTGAGGGAGCCTTAATGCTAAATGTAGTCTAGCTTCCCATTTGTAGATTTTTGTTGAAGTGCGTGTATCGCGTGTCAGCTCATCCAAGTCACCAAAGCGGATCTCAATCAAGTCGATAGAATTTGGTCGACCCTTATGCCGACCTGACCATGCCGAAATATTAACAGGCTAATTTGCTCTCAGCACCTCGGCCTGCACACACCTCATCACCTCGGCAGGGCTGACCTGTAAGGGTGGCTCCACAGTCTGTTGGTCATCAACTCCCATGGGAACTGTATAGGGTTAACCTATGGGAGTGGCTTCACAGTCTGTTGGTCGTCAGCTCCCACGGGAACCATACAGGGCTAACCTATGGGGTTACTCCACAGTCTGTTGAACGTCAACACCAACGGGAACCATGGAGGGCTCAACCTGTGAGGGCAGCTCCATAGTCTGTTAGTCGTCAACTCTCACAGAACCATATAGGGATAACCCGTAAGCACCCATGGGAACCATGGAGGGCTCAACGTACTGAGGCGGCCCCACAGTCTGTTGGTTGTCAACTCTTACGGGAACCATACAGGGCTAACCCTTCAACACCCACAGGAACCATGGAGGGCTCAACCTGTGGGGGCGGCTCCATAGTCTGTTGGCCGTTAACACCCACGGGAACCATGGAGGATTCAACCTGCAAGGGTGGCTCCATGGTATATTGGTCGTTAATTCTTACGGGAACCATACAGGGCTTACCTACGG